CTCCATCTAAAACAACCTTTTCCCGGGGTGCCTGGGTGGCTGAGTCGGTCAATCATCCAACTTCAGCTCAGGTCATGATCTCACAGTTTGTGAGTTCGAGTCCCATGTTAGGCTCTATGCTGACAGCTCTGAGCCTGGAGCCTGCTTCATATTCTCTCTCTACCCCTCCCCTGCTCATGCTCTGTCTCTCTCATAAATAAATAAACATTAAAAAAATTTTTTTTAATAAAATAAAACAACCTTTTCCCAGCAACCACAACTTCTATCCCTTCGACCTACATACACTCACAGGGCCACCAACGTCCCTAAGGCAGTACTGAGGTACCAAAGAGCATGAGTCACCCAGGTGGGTTTGCAGCATGCTTCCAGAAGGCTGCAGCCCAGAACAGGCACAGGCTCACTGACACCGTGTCCAGGAGAACACGGTCTTACTGGAGGATCTGGACGGAGGCGCTTCAGGGTAATGGAGGTCAAGGACCTGATGACTTTCTGCCTTTGCTTTGCCTCCGCACATCACTCCTACGCGCACTGCAGTGCCGGGCTACCAAAGCTCCTCCTTCCAACCACCAATCCTCCCCAGTAGCCAGGGACAGGAAACCAGAATGGGTCGTGTGTGAATCCTCCAGAATTCCTCCACAGACGGGGTTTTGGCTCGTAGTACATGTCCTTCTGCAAACAGCCCGGAGAGACATGTGTTCTCGGGAGCTCTGGCCAGCTCCACCCTCCACACAGAGCCCCGGGGCTCTGCTCCCCTGGAAGGGGGAGGCAGTAATACCTTCTTGGGAAGAAAGCATTCATCAGATTTGGCTGGGTCAAATTACTGCTATTCGGGTCAAATTACTACTATTCGCTGAGCACCTGTAAAATGCTTTGTGTTACTCCGGGCTCTATCCAAAGTGAATTCCTCCAAACGAGAGCACGCATATTCCTTGAGGTTGTAGAGGCTTCTTTGGGTCAAGGATCACTGTTAGCATTTCTAACCCTTCCCACGCACCAGCAATATCCCAACATGCCATAAAACTTCAGAGCACCAGCCTTCCGCAACACTGCATTTCGATTGGTTAGAAGAAAAACAGTATCACCCCGCCCCCGCCGGAGGCCCATTTAAGTATCTGCCCATTCTGAAGATGAACACGACCGCTGGGCTACATCATGTTTCCCAGACATGTTTTATCGTCAGACTGTAATCCACCTGCCCCTGTCCCCAGCAATGCTGCCATCTGTGTACCCATCCGCACACACTGGAAAACGACACACTGTGTGTAGAAGTTTTACCTCCATTAGCGTAAAAATTCCCAAAACTAAGTAGGATTTCCAGTAACACTTTATGATCGCTTTCGTTAAGGAAGGCTTCCGTGCATCTTTCTCGGCTCTCAAAACTTCTTTATCCCAGTACCTGCAAGAGAAACAAAAGAACAGTGAGAAACCACACACCCGGCTACAGGGCCGAACGGGGGTGGGGCGGACAAATCAAAAGCTACGTGTTTACAGGACATTCTGTTTATCATAGGTCACTCTGTGGCTGCTTCACTGGCACTGCTAAACGTGTGCAGGGCTCCTAAAAGATGTGTGGTGCGGAACCTGAAGCACCAGAAAAACATGCCTTGAGGGAGAAAGTTCCAGTCTCAGGAAACAAGTCACTGCCAAGCGCTGCTGGATTTACAGCACCATGAGCAAGCCAGTAAGGCAGACCTGAGTCCAGACAGCCTCCTCCAGTGATACCATCTCCGGGACAGATCCTGGCATCCAGGGCCTCTGCTGCTGGCAACTGCCACCCCACAAATGCACAAGAAACATATGCTTTCCCCCAGCCACCAAAGTAGGCTAAGCCCAGGGACAGCCTGAGGGGAGGTGAGTGTACCGCATTAGGAAAGGAAGCTCAGGCCAGACCCATCCCAAACCAGGAGACACACACTTAGAAATTCTCATTCCTCCTCACCCGGCTCATTCCGGCCCATGGCTTACCCTTGCAACTCCTCTCCAAGATGCTTTGAGCGATCTTCTGGAAGCACTGGATACATATCATCTTCTTCCAACCTCCGTTTGTGACCGATTTTAAACAAGGGGTTCAGCCACCTGTTAAAAATTAAGAGAAAAGAAGAGTGACACAGATCCAAATTACACATCTGTCTCATCAGAACTTACATTCATGGGGTTTGTTAAAAAAAAGGGGGAGGGGCTCCAAAAGACAAATACCGTACGATTTCACTTACATGTGGAATCTAGAAACAAAATGAACAAACAAAAAGCAGAGCAGGAACAGACCCATAAATACAGAAAACAAACTGATGTTGCCAGAAGGGAGGGGGATGTGCAAAAGGTGGGGTTGGAGGTTCAGGCTTCCAGTTACAGAATGAGGAAGTCACACAGATGAAAGGCACAGCCATCGGGAATGTAGTTAATGGTGTTGTTGAGTTTTTTACTAGGATCTTATTTTTAAGTAATCTCTACACCCATCGTGGGGCTCAAACTCACAACCCCGATGTCAAGAATTGCATGCTCATGGGGCGCCTGGGTGGCGCAGTCGGTTAAGCGTCCGACTTCAGCCAGGTCACGATCTCGCGGTCCGTGAGTTCGAGCCCCGCGTCGGGCTCTGGTCTGACGGCTCAGAGC